ACTCTTTACATTATTTACTGTTCCATAATGATGAAACCTGTAGTAATAGTAGATAAGCCTACATCATTAATTTCAATTTTCAAAAGCAAATGCCTGTTACAAGCAGACTTACAGATCTAAATCAGGTTCCTAACTGCTCACACCTACATTTTTGGATTTAACTTTTAATTTTGGATTAATACTTTTTTGATTTTGACTGTAAATGCTTAAGACAAAGGTTCAATCATGATTGAAATCAGTGGATCTATGAGTGCTCTACAATTCCAAATACTCAAGCTTTAAAAGGTTGAAACCTAAATACACATTAACTGCTACTCCCTCTCCCAAACATGGCCTTTCACTGTTAAGCATGTACACAGACATGAGGGAATTCCCTTCTGAAAATGTGACACCTAGGAGGGTACCGCTTTACAAAGTCTCCTCTCTCAGTCTTTACAGATAAAAAGTAAAACCCCTAAGTAATTGAAACTAAGTTCTACAAAAAATACTTTAGAAAAGAATGTTAAAATTAAAAAAATGCTGCAAAGTAAATCACACTGTTTAGAAAAAAAATCATATAAATATAATTATATATTAATACAAGAGTTTTACTTCTATTTAGTTATGAAACTGTATTGTTTTACACTCATCCATACAGACTCTTGTGCTGAACTTCTATTGTTCCTACCCATCCAGCTTACCGGACCTCATCGCTAGAAGGGTCTTATACCATAATACCACAATTTAGCTGGAGATCTTAAGAACAAGGACAAAAATAATTCTATCTATATCTGGTTTATTTTGTAGGCAAAAATGTCGCTAACTTTTTGATCAAACACAGCAGATATAATTTAGTGTATTATTTCCCCCAGTTATACTACAAGCTACAATGTGTAGCAGCTATGAAGTTAAAAGGAGCTTAGTACATACATGAAAAGGTGTAAGTATATATTGATTGCACTGCCTTAAATGTCCACGTCATTTGGCAATATTATGAAAAACATCAATGAGACTAATCAAACAAATAAAAAAACACATTACATTTCTCCCAAATTGTACATCCAGGGGCTGCTTTACAGGTCTGGTTGCAACAGAGAAACTTCCCGTTGATGAAGAATCCTTTATGGTACTTGTTTAGTAAATCAGAATTGTCTTTAATTTCTGGAAAGCACAAAGAAACCAAAGAGAACATGACAGGCTGCACAATGGGAACGTTCCTTATGATCAATAGAGTCTGCTGCACCAAACCATGGGACCCCAGAGTGCTTACCGACTTCTAGCTCTAGACACATATCCTGGTCACATTTTTTATCTCTATACCATATTCCTCTATGCAAAATCAAATCTGAAATCCATACCCCCCTATTTCTTTGAGAAAGAAACCTGAGTGTCAAGGAGATACAGTACAATCCAATGAAACACCTGAAGCCAAAACAGGGCCCAATAGCTATGATTCAAACCCATGCATCTTACAAAGATTTCATTGTCAATAATAAAACTAATTAAACATTTTCATATATCAAAATATGCTGAGTATTTTCCTAGATCTATCTACTGTAAGAAAATCATATTCACTGATACTCAATACACCATATGGCAAATCTAAACTAACATTTATCTGTTAAAATACAGTTCTTATTTAAGCACATCAAAAGGGAACACCATCACAGAAATATTTATTTTATATCTGAAGCACTGCTTTACTCTAGAAAAATAGCACCAGTAGTATCCCTGTGCTAGTGATACATTAGTTCTGTAAGCTGTAATAGTAGTTTGGTTTCAAAAGGTATCTAGAAGAAATGTAGAAGGCGTAGAGCCAGACTTTAAAAAGTGGTTGTGTCAGGACAGGTTTTCAGTTGTGCTGCGGTAAGCTAGTGTAAACCCAAGATTGCTGAATGTGTGACAGCGCTGCGGAAGGATCAGGACACCCCTTCGTGACAAGTGCTTTTTATAAACTTTTTAAAAGGCTTGTAGGCAGTTGAATATTGGTGCTATTGTTTGTCTCATGACCATCACAAAATATATCACTTTATGCAAGCTTACTCTTCACAAATTTTATTTTAAAAAGTCTTACCAAAAATCTTGGTTTCTAGAAGGGTCAGTGTAGTTTGCCTAATGCTTCTGGTCCACATTCTTCATAACTTTGCTAAATTAATCGACATACCCTTATTTCTGTGTATGCAAAGGGAGTCACAACCAGAGAGGTAGCTCATACACAGGCTTACAAGTAAAACTGGGCAGGGTAGTTGTTCACAGCCCATTATAGATTGCCTGGTTTTGTTCCTACAATGGCCAGTATGTATGAGGGTTGCCCTATTCAATGTGAGGGTTTTGCCTTCACTGGGGTTACACAGGGACGTAGTTTTCTGCTTGTAACTTACACTTTGCATGACTGTGATTCTGCTTCATTGAAAACAATAGAAATTTCCTTAAAAAAAAAAGAGGAAAATACAAAGGAAAAAGCACTAGCAGTATTGGTTATCAAAATGGCATTCATGCAGGTAAGAGCTATACTAGCCACATCAAGAATGGTTGTGCTCTATTAATCTGCATCAGTAAAGGCTGAACATATGACGAAGGTTAAAAAATGCCCATGAAAAATAAAACCCAAAAACTTTATTTTGGCTTATTTCTCACTGAAACCTTCAGCCTTTAAAATTTCTAACCCATTCTTGAAAATACCATGCATTTCAACCAGCCAGTGCTGAAGTAAGAAAGACACTAAAAACAAGTGACAAAGAATGGCACAAAATGATGAGGCAGGAGCATTTTCCTATCTCGCCTCATGTTATTTGAATATTTTTGTACACAAAGGAATAGCGTTACCTTTATGCAAAGCTGCAAGCCACCGCTCCCGGCTCTCTTCATTAGTGGCATAGACATAAAGAAGTCCACCCTTGTACACAATCTGGAAAAGGTTGGAAAAGACAGCATGGTGAGAGTCTACTGCCTGAAAGCATGTTGCTATGCAGGAGGGGAAAAGAGCAGGGCATGGGAACCAAAAAAATAGGCTTTGTGGACCCACATCAGACTCCCACAACTCACTAATGTTTCTCAGAGGTCGTGTATATAATGTATTTAATGTATTTTTTTTATGTGCACTACAGGGACTTTATCCCCTTCTGTGGTACATAAAAATTCTGATCAGGCAGGGCCACCCTGATTGGCAAATCCTCTGGTGTTGAGTAACCAGGTGGCCTTTGCTAAACATGTGTACCAATGTTTGAAGATTCCACCCCCCCATTGCTTTCAATGTAGTCCATTGTATCATTCAATTTTCCCAGAAGCTGGTGTATGATAGGGGATGTGATACACCCACTCAATGCCATGCTCTTTGGCCCAGGTGTCTATGAGGTTGTTTCGGAAATGAGTCCCGTTGTCTGACTCAATTCTTTCTGGGGTACCATGTCACCATAAAACTTGCTTCTCAAGGCCCAGGATAGTGTTCCGGGCAGTGGCATGGGGCACAGGACACATTCCCAGACATCCAGTGGTTGCTTCCACCACTGTAAGCACATGGCGCTTGCCTTGGCTGGTTTGTGGGAGTGTGATATAGTCCATCTGCCGGGGCTCCCCATATTGATATTTCAGCCATCGCCCTCCATACCACAGGGGCTTTAACCACTTGGCTTGCTTAATTGCAGCACATGTTTCACATTCATGGATAACCTGTGCAATGGCACCAACAGTCAGGTCCACCCCTCGATCACGAGCCCATCTATATGTTGCATCTCTTCCCTGATGGCCTGAGGTGTCATGGGCCCACCGAGCCATAAATAGCTCACCCTTATGTTGCCAGTCCAGGTCCACCTGAGACACTTCAATCTTGGCAGCCTGATCCACCTGTTCGTTGTTTCGATGTTCTTCAGTGGCCCGACCCTTGGGTACGTGAGCATCTACATGACGTACTTTTACAACCAGATTCTCTAGCCAGGATGCAATATCTTGCCACAGTGCAGCAGCCCAGATGGGTTTGCTTCTGCATTGCCAGTTGCTCTGCTTCCATTGCTGTAACCACCCCCACAGGGCTTTTGCCACCATCCATGAGTCAGTATAGAGATAGAGCACTGGCCACTTTTCTCTTTCAGCAATGTCTAAAGCTAGCTGGATGGCTTTCACCTCTGCAAACTGACCCGATTCACCTTCTCCTTCAGCAGTTTCTGCGACTTGTCATGTAGGACTCCACACAGCAGCCTTCCATCTCCAATGTTTTCCTACAATGCGACAAGATCCATCAGTGAACAGGGCATATTGCCTCTCATTTTCTGGCAGTTTATTATACAGTGGGGCCTCTTCAGCACGTGTTACCTCCTCCTCCGGTGACATTTCAAAATCTTTGCCTTCTGGCCAGTCCGTGATCACTTCTAAAATTCCTGGGCGACTGGGGTTTCCTATGCGAGCCCGTTGTGTGATCAGTGCGATCCACTTACTCCACGTGGCGTCAGTCGCGTGATGTGTGGAGGAGACCCTCCCTTTGAACATCCAGCCCAGCACTGGCAGTCGGGGTGCTAAGAGGAGCTGTGTCTCAGTACCAACCACTTCTGAGGCAGCTCAAACTCCTTCATACGCTGCCAATATCTCTTTTTCAGTTGGAGTATAGCGAGCCTCGGATCCTCGATATCCTCGACTCCAAAACCCCAGGGGTCGGTCTCAGGTCTCCCCTGGTGCTTTCTGCCAGACACTCCAGGTAGGGCCATTCACCCCCACTGTGGTGTAGGGCACAATTTTAAAATCTTGTCCTGCCCAGACTGGTCCAAGGGCTACTGCATGAACAATCTCCCCTTTAATTTGTTCAAAGGCTTGTTGTTGCTCAGGGCCCCATTTAAAATCATTCTTCTTCTGGGTCACTTGATAGAGAGGGCTTACAATCAGACTGTAATTTGGAATATGCATTCTCCAAAAACCCACAACACCTAAGAAAGCCTGTGTTTCCTTTTTATTAGTCAGTGAAGACATAGCTGCTATTTTGTTGATCACATCCATTGGGATCTGATGAAGTCCACCTTGCCATTTTATTCCTAAAAACTGGAGCTCCTGTGCAGGTCCCTTGACCTTACTTTCTTTTATGGCAAAACCAGCTTTCAGAAGGATTTGAATTATTTTCTTCCCTCTCTCAAAAACTTCTTCTGCTGTGTTGCCTCATATGATGATGTCATCAATGTATTGCAGGTGTTCCAGAGCTTCACCCTTCTCCAGTGCAGTCTGGATTAGTCTGTGGCAAATGGTGGGGCTGTGTTTCCACCCCTGGGGCAGCTGATGCCAGATGTGCTGGGTGCCCTTCCAAGTAAAAGCAAACTGTGGCTGGCACTCTGCTGTCAGAAGGATTGAGAAAAATGCATTAGCAATGTCAATTGTGGCGTACCACTTGGCTGCCTTTGACTCCAGTTTGTATTGAAGTTCTAGTATGTCCGGCACAGCAGCACTCAGCGGCGGCCTGACTTCATTCAGGTCACGGTAGTCTACTGTTAGTCTCCATTCTCCACTAGACTTTCACGCTGGCCATGTGGGGCTGTTAAAGGGCGAACGAGTTTTGCTGATCACTCCTTGGCTCTCCAGTTGGCGAATCGGGTTATCATGGGAATCAGTGAGTCTCACTGGGTGCGATATTGGCACCGGTGCACTGGTGTGGTAGCAATTGGCTTTTGTTGTTCTTTGACCCTCAGCAACCCCACAACCAAAGGGTCCTCCAAGAGACCAGGCAAGGTGGACAGCTGTTCAACTTCCTCCGTTTCCAAGGCAGCTATACCAAAAGCCCACCAATACCCCTTTGGTCCTTAAAATACCCTCTCCTGAGATAGTCTAGACCAAGGATACACGGAGCCTCTGGACCAGTCACAATGGGGTGTTTCTGCCGCTCATTCCCAGTTAGGCTTACTTCAGCCTCCAATACAGTTAGCTGATGGGATCCCCCATCACACCAGAAATACAGATGGGTTCTGCCCCTTTATAACTTGATGGCATTAGAGTGCACTGTGCACCAGTGTCTACTAGAGCCTTATACTCCTGTGCGTCTGACGTGCCAGGCCCTCGAATCCACACAGTCCGATAAACCCGGTTATCCCTTTCCTCCACCTGGCTGGAGGCAGGACCCCTCTAATCTTGGTCAGAGTATTCATTACTCACTTCTTGTAAAAATGACTTAGAAGTCCCTTCAAGAGGATCAGAAGTAAGATCAGCCCTTATACTCTGTCTGGAAACTGGAGTGGCTTTTTTCCTGGAAGAATCCCCTTTTGTGGTTGCTTTTCCTTGCAACTTGGACCCATGCATCTAGGGTCAAGGTAGGTTTTCCATCCCACTTCCTCATGTCCTCTCCATGGTTATGCAGGTAAAACCACATGCCTGGCACCCCATGGTCTATATTCTCTCTCTTGAGCAGAGGAACCATCACTCCTAATAGCTCAGATACTGGTCATACAGGTGGGCAATATGACTTTTGAATCAGTTTGATAAATTTTTCAGACTTTTCGGACAGTTTTTCCACAGGTTTGTAAGGACAAAGAGAGATTTTCTTCGTATTGCTGGAGCTGGTAAGCCATTTCATCCACTATCAGTGCCTCTTAGTCTTTCCAGGTCAATACTGCCAATGGGTTGGCAGCCGATGATGGCACACTCTGTACAAACTTCTGCCACATGGGTTCTGTGCATTGGACTTCGTCTGGATGTCTGGGTAACTGTGGGTTGTCTGGGTCCTAATAAATCAACTCTAGCATGACTAATTCCCTCAGGTACTGGATACCTCTCCATGGTGGTTCACTTGCCTGGTTGACATATAACATCTTCCCTGAAGGGGTACCTTTCCTTCATGCTTGACAGGAGTTGCCTCCAGAGGCTGAGGGCTTGTGTCCCTTTTCCAATTGCCTTGTCAATGCCGCCTTCCCTAGAAAGTGATCCCAGCTGCTTGGCTTCCCTACCCTCTAATTCCAGGCTTCTAGCCCCATTGTCCCAGCATCGGAGCAGCCAGGTGATAATGTGCTCACCTGGACACCGGGTGAAATCTCTTGACATATCCTGCAGCTCACTCAGGGATAGGGATCAGATGATTACCTCTGGTTCTGCCACTTCCTCCTCCTGTTCTCGTGATGAGCCTGGTTGACCTTCATCCCTTACTAAGTGAACTGATTTTTTTGTATATTTCTTCTTCTGTACAGGGGCGACTGATGCTGGCACAGGTTGGTTCCCTGGTTCAGCTGCAGCGTCTGTCGCAGGGGTTGGAGTTGCCACAGTGTCTGTTGGTCTCTTTTCCCTCCCTTCCCCCTGAGGGTGCTGCATAATATGCAGCAGTGTTTGGTAGATACTGGCCAGAGCGCAGCACAGTGCAGTAAGTTGTGCCTCTTTGGAATAGCCACAGCATTTTCCTTTCAAATATTCTATCACTTTATCAGGGTCCTGTAGCTGTTTAGGAGTGAAGTTCCAAACCATTGGAGGTGAGAAGTTCTTGAGATACCTGCCCATATTCTCCCACATGCCATGCCATCTGTGATTATCCAGCCTCGGGGCAGATCTCTACGTGATATTCTTAAATAGTTGTTTAACCTTAAACAAAACCTGGAAAACATTCAGGAGACATAGCAATAGGAACATGCTGGTTTGAACATCCCAAGGATATTCAAAATTCTCAAGAGCTATTGTAATTTTCCTCGAGGAGAAGGGGAAGGTGAAGAAATGTGTCTTCCGCATGGATTTCCGATGAGAAAAGGTAAAAGGTGTAATTATTAATAGTTTCTGAAAGATGGCTCCCAAAGTATGGAGATGACGGCATTGCTGAATACAAATACCAGATTAGTTTCATAACCAGCAATTGCATCGTCTCATAAGCCAGTGTTACAAAGTACAACAGCATGATAACTTTAGCCCAGTTCCCACAGGTGATAAACAGCACAACAGGGAGCATTTACTGCAAGTAAGGGGTTACAAAACACAACTTTAAGAAAAAGCATGCCAACTTTGAAAGCGAATAAATCAACACTGTGACCCACAACTATTGAACTAGTTTAATGAATGCTTATAACAAATTAGTTCTAATGTGTTCCAGTCAGATTTGTTGTTATCTCAACCCGTCAAGCCCCACGTTAGGCGCCAAAAAGGACTGTCGTGGTTTAACCCCAGCGGGCAACTAAGCACGACGCAGTTGATCGCTTACTTCCCCCCCACCCAGTGGGAGGGGTGAGAGAATAGAAAAAAAGTAAATCTTGTGGGTTGAAATAAAGACAGTTTAATCAGTCAGAAAGGAAGAAAATAGTAATGATGATAATAATAATAAAATGACAATAATAAAAAGAATTAGAATATTCAAAACAAGTGATGCACAATACAATTGCTCACCCCTTGCCGACTGATGCCCAGTTAGCTCCCGAGCAGCGATATGCACCCCCCCAGCCAACTCCCCCCAGTTTGTATACTGGGCATGACATCCCATGGTATGGAATACCCCTTTGGCCAGTTTGGGTCAGCTGCCCTGGCTGTGTCCCCTCCCAACTTCTTGTGCCCCTTCAGCCTTCTTGCTGGCTGGGCATGAGAAGCTGAAAAATCCTTGACTTCGTATAAACACGACTTATCAACAACTGAAAACATCAGTGTGTTATCAACATTCTTCTCACATTAAATCCAAAACATAACACTATAGCAGCTACTAGAAAGAAAATTAACTCTGTCCCAGCTGAAACCAGGAGAGCTTGTTTTCAGCCTACCTTCCTCTAGCTTTGTTTATTGCCTACCTAATAATTACTAACATCTGCTTTGCTTTTTGGATCATGTTTAGTACTGGGCTGACTCTGTGTGTGCCTGCATTAGGTCAGGGTTTCATTTCCCTTGTGTACATTGCTTTTCAGTCATCTGCACTGAATTTCAAATGCCACTTTATTGCTTTTGTTTGTTAGACTGAAGAGCTCTTGTTATTAAACGCATACTCCCACTGGTAAGTAAACATGACTGATCAATTTGCTTCCTGTCTCCTTATTTAGTTAAATGGTGGAGCCCTGCGAGCCTTTCTCTTTAACATGTTATCCATCCAATCTATTAGTCATTGTCAAGTCTTTCCTTTGACCTCTCTTCAGTTTACAACATCTTTCTTCAATTATAGTCACCAGAACTAGACACAATATTCTCCTGGTGATCGCAGTAGTGTCAAATCACATTGAGTGCTTTCACTCAATATGTGCCTGCTTCCATGTCCAAGGATGCCATTAGCTCCTTCGGCCACAGCATCACACTGGGAATTTATGTTCAGCTATCATGACCCTAAAGTCCTCTTTAGAGATACTGTTCCCCAGAACAGCGTCCCCCATCCTACAACTAGCATACACTCTTTTCCCCACTTAACTGAATTATGCATTCCTGACATAAATACACTCATTTAACATAAATGTGTCATTCAGTGCCACAAATCTGGGGGAGGGAGAAGGGAAAGGAAGACTGGAATGACACCTAGAATCAACCAGGCAGTGAAATATTAAGCATGTGTCATGAGGTTGCCCTTGGGCATGGCAATTATTGCAGGGTCATGAATTAACACAGTATTCAGCAACCCTGTTATTCACTCTAGCAGCCTGCCAGTGGCACTGCAAAAGGGGATCTGTGGGCACTTCTCACATCTGCATGTCCCACTGCCCACAGAATTGAGATTGATGGAGGCTCTAGGAGGAACCTGAGCTGGGCAACTGAAACAGGTGAAAGGCAGCAAAGCTGAAGTTATGGTTTTCTCATCACATTTAGTTCTTAAACACGTGTAGTGCTTTGTGCAGGTGCATCTGCTGATACAAGGCATAGCCTTGGATCTCCTGACTGTGGCACATTTGAATCGCAATCAGGCAGTCAGGGGTCAAATCCTGCACTTGGTATTGAAGCCAAAAAAAAGAAGTGGAAAGAGACAGTGAGAATTAAAATGAGAATTTTTAAGTGCTCAATTCTGCCTTAAAATAAGTGATAATCACATAGTGTAGTGATCTATGTATTCCAGATAATATTAAAGCAAATATCTGATAGACCTTTGAACATAAAAGAAACAAGACTTGATCTAAATTCTATCACAGTCAATTCAAAGTATTTTAGCAAAGTCACAATTTCAGTAATAGGGACTGATTTTCTATTTGCCATAAATATCAGTAGCACTCAGCAGTAACAGGTATCACCACTTCAGATAGGAACACTAGGTGTAGCCTTAGGATGGCTGGCAGGCATATTTAATGAAATGCAGATGAAACAGATTTCATGGCTAACCTGAAAAGGATATTGTCTTGCAGGAGGTGTTGATTCCTCAAGATTCACTGTCTCAACACATCGGATTTTCTCAATCTCAATTGATCCCCTTTTGCTTCCTTTTTTCTAAGAGTGAAAAAACACAGCCGACTGTAAACTAATGTTAACACAATATAAAGTATTCTAGTTTGACGATTTTGTACAATTTTGCGTTTCAAGCTGTATAAGCCATAGCTTCAGGTTTGTTAAACTTTAAAAGAAAGGTAGGAAAAAAAAAAACCCTTGGTGCCCTACCTGCATCTAATATATTGATCAAATTCAATTTTAAGTCAGTTACAAGAATTACAGGACACAGCCCTACATCTGAGAAAGCATCTGCTGCAACTGAAGGAGTACAGGGCAGAAGGGGGGACTGGCAGGAAAAGAAGGAGGAATTAAGAGAAAAACACCTTAAGTGCAAACCAGAAGCCTAGCTGTGGCCTTCATAATTTTGTTAAGGTAATGGAGCTTATTCTCACTGAGCTTCCCTGCAGTTTTGTAATGGGGTGTAACTCACAGGAGGAGTGCAAATGTAAGAAAAGGAGCAAAAACTTTAAAATAAGTTGCCTGAGACATATAGTTCCATTCCCGATAGGAGATCTTCTCAGTAAAAAGCCACCCTTTTGTGATATACAGTCACTCCTTAGGAAACAAGGATAGTTTAAACATCTGCTTTGTGCAGCTGAGGGATGAGATTCTGAACTAACCATGTCTCGTACAAGTAACTTCTGAAGCCAGTTATTTACATCAGTTCAGAGGGAAACCTGAGCAAGGAAAACATCCCTATTCAAGGCAATGTGTAAATATATGCCAGTGTTAACTACTTGCTTAAGTTCATTTTGGAAGGACACAAACAGATGCTCAATGGTAAGCACAACTGTAAGAGTTGTTCTGAATAGAGACACTCTTAAGCCTGCAGCTAAGTGTTTTTCTGAACTGAAACTAGGATTTGATACCCTATAATTCTACTCAAAACAAAGTACACCTGTTGTTCTAAGACAGAACGTCTAATCAAGTTTCACAGAAGAAAACCAGAGGAATAAGGTGACACTGGAAAACCTTAGAACAGTTTACTTAAAAAACATTATGTCTTACCCCTTTGTCATATTCATAATAAGAAAGGCTTGCTTTCGTCAGAACAAACAACCTTTTCTTGTAGTTAATTGGTGATATTTTTTTCTTCTGTTGTGACTTCTTTAAAAGAAGTTCTTCTAGAATTGTTTTCTTCTCCATTATATATTTCCCTAAAAGAACATCATAGTTACTTTTATTACTACTATTAATAAACATAACAACACCAACTATAGAAACTGTAATAACAAATACACTGAGTCATTGTCCTTTATAAAATTTTCTAGTAATATATGGTTACAAAGCATGTGTTTAATACTGCTTAAACAAATGAGGTTGTTAAGCTTATTCACTCGATAAAAACAATCATAGTATACAAAAATTAAGCTACAGATATACTGTAGTTCTAAACAAGGTGTCTCTGTTACTTTATTGTCTGAGGATCTCTCCTTTTAAAGCCATGCACCCTTTCTGGCAAAGAGCACAGGCTGCTTTATGCACAGATGTATTACATCTGCAGCATAACATGGAAGTCATTACAGCAGCAGAGAGAACAACAACAAAAAGAAAACACTTCTATTTACAGACCAGAAAAACATACCTAGTGCTGACAAGTGTGTTCCCTGAACTGGAAATTTCCCATTTCTTTCTTTCAACTGAAACAAATACATGTTTATGGTACAGTGACATGTAGAAAAGATCAAAAAGTAAAACTGTTCTTGCACCGCATATATATACATATATACTTATATCTATGTATTTTTTCTTAGCCTGGACAATCATACAGTAGAAAATGCCAAGAAGGCTGAGATCCATCATATTTCTACAGTTTTGTGTGTTTCAGGTTATCTTACCCAAATGTGAAGAAAGCAGGTCACATCCTTTGCCCTATACGTTCTGGAGCTCCAAAGGGAAGTGTTGTGCTAAGCAACCCACTTCGTTATGTCCCTGTTCACTACAGAGAACCCAGCAGAAAGAGAAAATTTGCATGACGCTTATCACACCCACTTGATCAAACCACTGGAACCTACTCGAACCCAGAAAATAACAAATATCTAGTAGGAACAGTCTGAAGAGGAAAGGGGGGTCCTTACTAGCCATTACTCCACCACGGGCTGCTGGCTACCCTCCCCGTGGACAGGGTGCCTACTTACACCTACCACCAACTCCATTTTGGAGAGATCAGTGTATGTTAGTGTCACTGCTGAGTCAGCTTAAAGGCAATCTTGCCACGACATGTGACATCTGAAGAAGATAGGAGCTTGGGGTAGGTAAAGGAAGAGCTGGGTCTGAAATCTTCCTGTTGCGATGTCTGCTCTGATGTGGGGGAAAGGAGGAGTATCCACCCACCCCACTTTCTGAAATTTTTCAGGCATTACAGGGTAGGTACTTGCCCTGACTGACTGTAGGAGTAACTAGCATGAAATTAGGAGTGAGTTCAACACAGCTTAGGGAAGCTGTCTTTGCAATTAAAATATTAGGTTTGATAGAAAGTGTAAAAAACTTGTCATTCCCACGGCAGAGCAGTAAGAACTCCTGCTTTTTGTAACAGCATGTGCTTTCGTTTCTTTATACTGGGAAACATCCAGTCTTTAGCTCCAACTCACTGAAGTTCATGGAGCTCACAGGCATACTGGAGGTCAGAAAAAAGGATGGGTGAGATGATGGAATTTCAGCTACCCTATTTTAAAGCATTATTTGCAGGTCATTTTTCTGGGATTGTCACTACGTGATCTTTACTAACTGCTGCTTGAATTAATCTGAGCAATTACCTGAACTGCCAGGACTGATAACATTGCTCATGTGAGACCAGGATTCTAATCCACATAGGCTCTAGCACTGACCACTGTGAGCCCAGAGAATATCAGCTGAAGCCACACGGAGTGACTGCAGTCTACACTTAGTGTGGCTTAGAAAAAAGACCAAGTACTTCCATTACTACTGGTAGAAACATTAACAAAACAACCTCTGTGTTTGACAAAGTTGTGCCATGAGTGCACGCCAAGAACTGAGTAGAGACCAAAGGATTTATCACAATATGTAATTTCATTTAAATATTAGAACCTTATGTTCTATAAACTGTACCTTGCAACACCTATTTGTTAATAAACAGTATTTAAACATACAGGACTATATATTAAATATATCAAATACAAATTATGAAGTAAATAGTAAACACCTACAAGAGTCATTAAACATATTTATTAAAATTATAAATATTTATAATAGTCAAGATTTTGTTTTCTTGATATGGGAAAAAACACATACTCTTCTTTTTAAAGTAATTAGCTGAAAACAATATTCTGTTAAATTTAGGAACTCGATGTCTCTGGATATGCCCTTGCATAGTAAATGACATACTGGATCACCTTGTTATCTAATAGCATGCCTTCTGCCTTGTCTGTGGACCTGTGGCAAGCACATGACCTACTTGTAAGGGTGCAATAGAAAGTTAAAGGTATAGGTTAAGAGAAACACTTATAAGACTCGAAAAAGCCTATACAATTATTACATCCCTTGGTTTCTCTGAAACAGATTACTGTGTATTTGGCCTTTGAGGGAGCAGCTGTTTACACTGCAGCATATATAAGCCACTTCATTACTGGAGTGCTCTGGCTCAAGTTTAAAAAAATGTTTTCCAGATTTTGACTTCTCATTACAATTTGAGATAGAAAACAATCTCAAACTCTAAAAAAAATCCTGACAGCAAAACTACTTCCTGTCCAGATCCAGTGCACAATGCTCTTCTTTTTCTGCTTGTGGGAAAGAAATTACAACAGCTGAGATTATGCCAAATGAACTGTTCAACTTTTTTTCCCCTTTTTTTTAAACGAGGTTACAGTTCCAGGAATAAAACATATTTGTGTTGCACTGCCTTTTCACTGCCTAGGCTGCCCTTCCTTTGTGAGCAGAGTCTTTTGTGCTAAGTCAGAACGTGCTTGTGCTAACTAACCACTCCGCTGTGCTGAAGGGATGATCCTTTGGTGCAGAAAGTGCAGAGAGTGGCCTGTGCCATGTACAAATTTCTGCCTACCTAGAGAATTGCAAGGTATGGTATCCTCCCTCTTTGCTGGATGGAGCTTTATTCCTTCAACTGTGAAATCTACTTTCTCCCTGGAAGAAAATAAAAAGCCATATGGAGTTAGCTGTAAACATTTGTTCCATATGATTTGAAGAGACATGAAGGATCTAGGGATCTTTTTTTATTTTTCCACGCTTGAAATTTGCATCTTGTATTTCAAACAGTTGTGCTTGTACTGAGGATATTTGCATTTTCTTTGCTTTCCATAACACAGTGACAAATATAAAAGATCTGTTCCCCCAACAGATCTTTAAAGTCTTAGAGATCAACCTGTCATTCAGAAAGAGGGCTGTTGCGAGACAGTTTATCAGAACCACACTCAACAAGGAACAAGCGAAAGGGACCAAGACATCCTGAAGGCTAAAGGCACTTTCTCTAGTGTTAGCTGCTGCTTCTGACAAGGTGGTTTGGATGTGGTGTTCAGTGATAAGCATTTTCTAATGGTAGGCTGGAATGCAGCACACAAGCTGCAGAGTACTCTGGCTCCTTCCCTCTCGGTAACCTTTATCTCCAGAAGAGTGACCAGCTGGAAAACCAAGAGGGAAAGGGACAGCAGTTGTGACAGGAGAAGCTTGGGGAAGAACCTGACCAAGCTATGGCGGCTGGGGACACAGCCGTGTTGGAAGCATGGCTCCCGCCTCAGAAGTGCCGGCAAGGTGGAGGTCCCGATTCCCGCCCGAATGGAAACGTGTCCTCCACCCAGATGAAATAAGCAAACTTGTTGGGAAGCGCTTGGCTTCGTATCCTTAACGACACGGCCCAGCGGGGGTAGGCTGGGGGTGGTGGGGACGGAGGTAGAGGGACCAGGACAGGGTGGTGGGGTTGGGTGGGTGGGCTGGGAGAGAGCAGGGATAGCGACAGGCCTGGTGGGGAGGGCAGGAGAGCAGGGAGTGGGGTAGGCTTGGGCAGGTGGGACAGGACGGGCAGCTACAAGTCTCCTTGCACAGCCCTGAGCGGAGACTTGGGCAGCTGGGGGGGAAGAAACATGGCCGCCGGCAGGCGGGGAGGCAGCTGGCAGGGTTCCGTGAAGCCATTGGGGTGGAAAGTCAGGTGTAGCTCTCGGGGTGGAAAGCGAGGTCTGGTCTGGGGCGTCCGTGCGGTGGCAGACAGGGGCTTGGCGGGGGTGTCCGGCAGGGGAGGGCGGCCCAGCGGCTGGTTGGGGACGGAGTAGGACCATGGGATGAGCAGCTACCAGGGCAGCATATGGGGTCGAGGTGGGCAGGAGAGGCGTCAGGCAAAGGCCTCAGGGTGGTGGGCACATGTCAGCCAGGGTCAGCTGTTGCAGAACTAGATTATTCCCATTCTGCTACACGGACCATCTCTGAGGAAAGACTCCATCATCTCCCTCCACCCCCGCCCCAGGGGCAGGCCTGCTGGTGTGAGGACACCGCAGCAGGCTTGTTGGCATTCGCTGTACAAAAGGCGGCCAAACACCACTTCATTTGGTAGAAATACCGGACCTTTTACAGCCGTTCTCTTCCGCGGCTTCAGAGAGACCTTTTTCCTTCGTTTCAGGTGAACTATTTCAGCTCAGTAAGCTGCTCATTTGGAGGTCTGAAACAACTCAGAATTTGGAATAATATAAATTTGCTTTCCTTTTCCAAATAAAATAGATGTGGAGGGTGAGAACTACTAATTCTAAAACTTCCAAGGTGTGGATAGACGCAAAAATAATAATCTCTAGTTACTTACAAGTTTTATTAGCCTTGCTAGTGAACCATAATATTTTTAAGTTTGAATGTTTTGAGAAACTGACCTTTTTCCAATCCACCACACTCAAAATACATTTTAGTTAATTAAACCAGTTGCAAAGCACTACCTTGGTGCTTACAATTTATGATTAAGGTGACTCTAACACAAACACTGAATAAAAAGCTATCAGAAATGAGACAAGCAATTTATTTTAATATGATAAAAACGTAAACATAAAAAATTGGAACACATTTCCTTTAAACCACGGTGTTTAAATATAGATATTTATGATGCATCCTCTTGGTATTAATTTTAGCAACTCATATTTAGGTTAAGGGATGGAACTGTTTCCTGATCCTGGTGTAATGAAAACCAGTGAAGGAGACAA